TAAAAGATAAAAATGATCCATTCAATAAGGTATATATAAAACCAGATATCCATCCCACATTTCGCAAACACAATTCGTCGGGGAGAAAAAAAATTATATGTACTGTATTTTCTACATATTAGTAGACTCTAAAATCGATTAAATAAGCCTATGAAAACCTTAAATTGTCAAAATTTTCGGGGGCTTCGCCACATGGACCACTTTCGGAGCCTTTTAATCGAATCTCGACGACGCCCACTTTGCTTTCGTCTGGGAAATCTGACCTCTCGTCGGGGAAATCGGCCCCCGTCGGGGGGTTAGGCACAAAAATGGTTCGGAGGGCCAGGGCCAAAGTAAATTTTTTATTTAACTTCGAGGGCCGCACTTAAACTTCCAAATCTTTTTGAGAAAGGTACGTTATTCTATTATTAAGAAGCAAAATCTAGATCCGTCTGTGCCAAACAATTATAGGCCCATAATTGTCTCCAATTGTCCCTAAGATCTTTGAGATATGTTTCCTCGAATCTCATAGTGATATTACATTTGATCAGATGCAATTCGGATTTTTTAGTGGTCGAACTACCTCCATGTCGCTGCCACCTTTAGCGGATGTTATTAACTATTGTGTAAATCAGGGCTCCTCTGTTTACTCGTGTTCTTTAGACGCTAAAGGAGCATTTGACGCAATTCCCCATGTCGTAATATTTCAAAAATTTAATTCAGCAATTAAATCTGATTGGCAGCGCTGTATGTAGGCCTATAAATGGTACACAAATATAAATGTCACTGTTAAATGGAATAATATGACTAGTAGAAGTATTGTAATCCGCAAAGGTACTAGACAAGGAGGACTCTCATCGCCTTTTATATTTAACTTGTTCTATAAAGATCTGGTAAACGGTTTAAATAAACTTAATTGTGGTATTGTCATTGTAAACTGCAAGTTGAATGCATCCTGCTATGTGGAGGATTTACTGTGAACACTACCGGTAAGTCTTCAAAAACGTATTGACTACGCCAACAATTACATACACTACTATCCCATGGGTTACGTTTCAATCCCATTAAGCCATTTGTACAATATTTGGCAAACACAGTTTAACACCAGCGCCGGTATGGTACTTTAAAAAATCATAATCTGAAAATTACGGACCTACCTCGGGGTCACACTAAACTGCAACCTAAAGGGAAATTCTCACGTAGACGGAGAATTCGTAAATCTTAAAAAGCCTTCTTTTCATTGCCAAGTATCGGCATGTGTAAACAGGGCTCTTGTGTTCTTGTATATGGTTGTATGTACTAATATATCAATAAGGTTAATAATGTAGATAAAATTCGAAGTAAGTTGGTAAAGGCATTTCTTGGTATCTCTAAATTTCGCAGGTCAACACCCTTGTTACCTTTCCCAAGATTAAAGACATTTTGTCTTCCCAGCTCGATCTCTTGCCATAAATATTTGCTAATGATTCCAACTCTATGAAGTTCTATATGCATATTTACTTAATTGTGAGGCTAATGGTAACATGGTGTATATAGAACACGCTCATCGATAGGGTAAAGAAAGGTCTGAATGACTTGGATGTTTCACTTTTCTCGACACTATTTAATGATAGCTATAGACGAAAATTGAAGTCTTAAGAATAGTGACTTTATTAACCACGAAATTTGTGACAGTTTAAAGACGTTAATCGATAGGAAAACCTATATTAAACAACAAAACCTTGACTTAATTATCATGCTCACCAACCATTTCAATTTTGGTTGTCTTTTTCTTCAGGATTTGTATATATATATATATATATATATAGATGTGTATAAGAGACAGGAATTGGTAAGAAAGATAGGCAGTGGAATCGTCCTATCCTGGTAAAACTGAAACAAAACGAAAGAAGTGAAGTGCTTAGTAAAGCGAAACATTTAAAAGATAAAAATGATCCATTCAATAAGGTATATATAAAACCAGATATCCATCCCACATTTCGCAAACACAATTCGTCGGGGAGAAAAAAAATTATATGTACTGTATTTTCTACATATTAGTAGACTCTAAAATCGATTAAATAAGCCTATGAAAACCTTAAATTGTCAAAATTTTCGGGGGCTTCGCCACATGGACCACTTTCGGAGCCTTTTAATCGAATCTCGACGACGCCCACTTTGCTTTCGTCTGGGAAATCTGACCTCTCGTCGGGGAAATCGGCCCCCGTCGGGGGGGGTTTTAAGTAGTATATATGCTGTCTCTTATACACATCTAGATGTGTATAAGAGACAGGTTAAAAACAGTACCATAAGGCGAAAGTAGTGTCGCTAAGGGGAAACTAAAGCGACGTTAAGGCGAAATCATAGACAAAAGAATTTCCCCTTAAGAGCCGAATAAAGGTAGTATATATATATATATATTATCTATGTGTGTATGTATGTATTTGTATATAGTGCGATGGTTTACTTCTCAACAGAAAGTTTTAATCAATCTGCGTATAAGACGACCCCCAATTTTGAGAAGATTTTTGCACGACTTTGTATGACGGGCGTAAAGCTAACTGAAGCCTGGTTTCCTTGAAGGAGTTCTATTTTTAACTGCAACCATTGCACCAGCGTTGCAGTTCCCGAGGCAATCGGTAAAGGTTACCGATACGTCCAACCAATCAGCATCAACGAAAACTGTCGGCTACAGCGTGTAGCGATTTTGTAGAAACCAAGCTTCAGGTCACATAGAAAAAATTGTTAGATTATCACTCTTTGTAAAAAAACAACCGGGCGTTTGTTTTTGTTTTTTTTAATCGGAATATTTTTTTTTTTTTTTTTTTTATTACGGCAGGGACTGTTTTTATTTGGCAAGAATATTGTATAAAAACTGGTTTAATTTTATTGTTTTTAAAAGAAAATGTATTTCCAGTCACGAAATTGTTTTTTTAAGCTGTTTTGAAATAAATGATGAAGCAATTTTTTTTTATTCCTGCATAAATAATAGGAGTTATAATCTAACAAATTTTTCTATGTGCCCTTACTCACATGCATCGGGGTTCGGTTGGCATTCTTTAGTTTTTTTTGTCGGCACTTTCATTTATTAATCAATTTTATTTGAAGCGATTGCGCGACCCATCAAAATTTCTTTCATTTCTCGCGACCTATAGGTTGCGGAACACAGCCCTAATTAACGTTATTTACAACATTCACATGTTCAAAAACGGTTTATGAACTAGTATCCTTCCATTATTTATACTTAGTTGATGTTACAAACTTTCCTTCTCTTGTTTCTGTAAAGTTAACACTGATTGGTATTTACTACAAAAATAAAATGTGAGGTATTGTGGACAGTATCCAATTGGAGACCACCCACAATAAATCGATTGCACTGACCAGTCGTTGGCAGAGAAATCTAAATTGCTTCATCTATTGCCTTCATTGAACTTCCCGCGATGTTATGAATTCAGCTTTTCCATTGAGTGAACACATTTTATTCATGAATTTGGAAAAAATATAAAAAGCCATGATTATTTGTTACCGCAGTTTTGGGCTGATGCAAAAATTGAATTTCTAAAGAACAGTATTTTGTAGGGAACAACTATCATTATGTAATTATTGTTGTATTTTTTACATTACCACTGTGTAAAGGGCCTGCGCGAATGGCTGCTTCGGTGAATAGTAGGCTAGTATTGTGGTAGGCTGTGTTTTGTTGACAAATCGGTCGTGTGGGTAATTGTGGACGGGCTAGAGGGCGCTGTTGTTAATGATAGGAACTCTATGCGGCCTGTGTATGATTGATTGGTGTTGTTGACAATATGGCAAGGAAGCGTGAATTAAATTCAAACAAATTAATTATTTTTTTGTATATTATTTTAGAAGTCTGTCTGAACTCTATAAGTACACTTATTAATGTAAAATGTTATAACATACCAAAATTTCATTTTATAACACAATACATCAAGGAAAAAAAAGATGGATGTACTGGCCAATTGTGGACACTTGACCCCAGTGTAATTAATGCTTGTTAGCTAATTAAATAATAACATGATAATCTTCAATTATGCATTTAATTAAAGACCAATCATAGTTGTTGATAATTTAAAAAAAAATAAAAATATTTCAATCCACATTTTTTAAATTTATGCAAATATGCTTAAGGGTCCACATTTCCCCACCCTTACCCTACTTTCAATTGAATATACCCGACAGCAGCTGCTGATCAGGCCGACAAATTTTGTGTTGCATACAAGCAGTGGAATTTTGGAAATCAGGTCAGTTAGAAGTCGGGCAGCAATTTAGTAATATATGTACAGTATATATATTTGGTTTTTTTTTTACCTGTTTTTATTTTTTTCCTTTATTTTTCTTTTTATTATATGACTTAATAGTAAACACACTGCTGCCCGACTAAGTCACAAGATAAAAGGAAGAAAAATAAAATAAGATTATATACAGCCCAGTAATATTATATTTGATATATTTTATCTGTTTACCCCTACATTTATTTGTACCATGCTTCTTGTTTATACCCAAATCATGCATTACTTGGCCTCATTATTTTTGTATGCCCATAGTCTTTTGTATTAGATTCTATTGTTTTACACTTATCCATGCTTGTTCCTTTACTGGGTCTAATTGGTTAATTATTCGATTGGCCTATTTGTTGGCCTGGCAAAACTTTCACACTTTCTGACAATATAAGAAAATTAAATTGCAGGGTATGCTATGTATTGGCATATCTCGGATGTACGAAGGTCGCACACGTCCCTCACACGTCTCTCTCCCTGATAAAAATACTTGCCCATCCACTTTACTTTCCCACTCCTAGTAGGAAAAGTTTGTAAGCGTACTACTATACAGGATTAGATTGCGCTATAGCCAAAATACAAATGTATGTTAATTTTTAATACTGGCATGGTTGTATGGTTGTAGTATCTTCTTTTCAAAATAATTCCTACTCCTCTATTTTAACATATTTCAATTCAAATAATAATAACTCAAAGTTTCTTGTATACCAGCTGAGAGTACGATGCGATAGGCCTAAATGAAAAATACTTGCCCATCCACTTTACTTTCCCACTCCTAGTAGGAAAAGTTTGTAAGCGTACTACTATACAGGATTAGATTGCACTATAGTCAAAATACAAATGTATGTTAATTTTTAATACTGGCATGGTTGTATGGTTGTAGTATCTTCTTTTCAAAATAATTCCTACTCCTCTATTTTAACATATTTCAATTCAAATAATAATAACTCAAAGTTTCTTGTATACCAGCTGAGAGTACGATGCGATAGGCCCAAATGCGACTTATCCTAGATACCAAAGTAGGCCAAACATTGAAAAGCTTTTCCAATAAAATACAGCAATCCACTTGAAAAATTAAGGTTTATATAGAAGATTATGGCTAAGAAATGCTAAATCAAACGCAGAAACTGTACTACTATATTTTCTTATTTGTTTTAGCCAGGGTATGCACTGCATACCTTGCTTGCCTTGACGGTCCGCCACTGTTATAAAAACATTTTTAATACCCATTAATGTGGCTATTTCACAAATTGACATCATAATTACTGAGCATTCAGTACAATAACACGTCAGGTAGGGCAAAACATCATTCCTATCATAAATGATGAGGGTGTCAAACCAGCACGCTAATCATTTAGACTAAATTACTTTGCTCATGAGTTGCAAATTCAGAGTACAGGGCATGAGGTCTCCACCATATTTATTAATTTCTGCGATTGGTGGCCTAGGAATTGCTACACATTTGGTTTGCATTGTTGATATACTTGTTGAATTCAGACTTCCAACTAGCCATATATTTGTTGCTCCATTCTTGAAAATCAGACTTCCATTTGGCTTCTGTTTTCTCAACATCCCCTTGAAAAAAAATATAATAATAATAATAATTAATAATAATAATTATAATAATAATAATAATAGTAATAATAATAATAATAAACTTGACTGGCAACAAACATAACAATTATTTTAATAAGATGTGCAATTTTTTAAGGAAATATTATTCATTTTTTATGGCAATTATTATCCTGAGGATCGCTTTTGTTTACATAATTTTTTTTTTTTAATATGCACTGTAAAATGTACTCTCCCACTGTAAGGTATAATACTATCTTTACAATATGCATGATAAATATATACTACCATATGAACAATTAAGGATAAAAAGAACTCTAAAACTTTTAATTGAAGAAAAAGAAAACCATAATTTATCAAATTTCAAAAAGTCACAAATCAAAAAAAAAAAAAATGAAAAATAGTATTATAATGCAAAGACTACTGTTAGGAATAGGGTTATTTAAAGAGATAAAAATTCTTGACTTAAATGTCTAATTGGAGAGGAAATTCATTTGTTCCCCCCAATGTTCTTCGTATACTTTACTGTGTCTTTATTCTTCCGTACCTGACCTACTGCAACATTGTCTGGGGTAACACCTACCCATCCAACTTAAACAAACTTTAAATTATTCAAAAGAAGGCTATCAGCATGATTTCTGGTGCTCCACCACTATGCCATTTATTCTCCAATCTCAACCTTCTCAAACTTACTGATATCAACTCCCTGCAACAATGTTTATTTATGTATGCTTCCAACCACTATATTACCAATGGGTCATTCCGTGCCAACTCAACAAATTTTCAGAAAATCATGGCTGGGTACCGTCTCAGATTTTCTTGAAACTCGGATATAATGTGCACCAACATGTTTGACGAACAAACCCAAAATTTGACTTGCCAATTCCAAGTCGTTTAGAAGTTACGGCCATTTGAAATTTTAGGGTCATACCCCTTTTTAGCTATCAATTATGACATATTTGTAAAGTTGCATTTTCAATTAGCCATATCTTCAAATAGAATAAAGATAATTAACTGAAAATTGATATCTAGACTAACTTTTGGCTGTAAAACAGGAATATGACATGACGTTTGGTATACCGGACCCCGTTACGAAAATATTGGTTCGTAAACACCCTAACTTATTTGGTTGCGTAATTTTTCTTCCATTTTTAGACTCCATTAAAATACCCAAATCAGTTATTAAATGGGTCTTATGCAACAAATTATTAATATATAGTTGGAAATGTTTCACCACAAAAAATTCCGGATTTTTAACTTATCATTTTAGGGGGTAATCGTAGGTCAAAAGGTCATTCGGGACAAAAAATGCACAAAAATGCCTCATATTCATGGTGACCTTTGACCCTGTGGGCAAGTACGCTTGTTGTTAAAACTTGCACCATTAATTAATTTATAT